GATCGTTTGGGATGCAAGTTCAATAGTTAGTTAAATCTTATTAGCTAACTTAGCAATTAGTTTGATGAGTTTCCTAGCTGTAATTGGTTTGTGCTAGTACTAAATTTTTGTCTCTTCTTAAATCATTGGAAGTTATTGGTTCTCTGTCCGGCAAAGAATGTAACTGTTTGGTTTTGTTCTTTCCATCGTAAGCCGAATGTTCAAATAAAAAATTTAATTAAAAGGTAAAATTTAGTTTCTAACAGGTATTTATTTTATGCTCTCTGTTATAAATTTTAACCATCTAACTTACATTCATTTATTTTCTTAGTGTTATGGTTGTCTATAATGTCATGGGGGGTAGATCTACAGCACAACCAAAGAACCTAGATTGGATTTATCCCATGGTAATTGATTTGTAACCTCAATATGCCTAAAATGTTTTTTTATTAGCTTAAATTAAAAATTACTTATACAACTCAATCTAATTTTCATTTTAGAGTAATCAACAACAAGGAGGTTACGAATGTGGATATTATGTGATGAATTGGATGTTAGACATAATTGAAGGGGAAGTAACAAATGATTGGATTGAGGTAATGTAATTATTTTACTTTTACTATCATTAATTAATTTATTTACATGATTTTTATGTAACTAATATATTATACTGTATGTTACAGCTTTTTGATGATGTTGCACCATTGCCGGAAACCAAATTGGAAGACATTCGAAGTCAATGGGCAACCTTCTTTTTAGAAAAATTTAGAAATAGAGCATGATTTTTAGTTTAATTAGGATTGTTTAAAATATAACTCCAAAACAATTTTCTGCCTTTATTTTTTAGTTTATTTTCTTATCCGAAAATAAAATAAACTAAGTACTTAAAGCTTGGTTATCATGTTTTGGTCAAGAGGATCTATTTCTAATTTGATTGGGTGTTGTTAGAGAATGAGGAGGGGTCGGATGTTACTTTCTCTGTAGGTGGAGAAAGGTTTCATGCGCATAAGCTTGTTTTGGCTGCCCGGTCAACTACATTTGAAACCGAGTTTTTTAATGGGATGGAGGAAGATGATCGTGACATAGTTGTTACTGATATGGAACCTAAGGTTTTCAAGGTAGAATATAGATTCCTTAAAATTGTCTTATTTATTCCTATCTTTTTGCAGTTATTACATGCTAATTAATTCAGTTTCAGTGTGGCATATCATTGGCTTGGCCATCTAATGTTTCTTGTGTCCCATTGTTGAGCAGGCTTTGCTTCATTTTATTTATAGAGACCCTCTTATTCATGATGAAGAGCTCTTTACGTCATGATCATCTTCATCATTCTTGCCTTCGGTGTCTGAATCATTTGCAGCGAAGTTGTTAGCTGCTGCAGAAAAGTATGGTTTGCCAAGACTTAAACTGATGTGCGAGTCTGTAATTTGCAAAGACATATCTATAGATTCTGTTGCCTATATTCTGGCTCTTGTTGATCGTTATCAAGCTATAGAATTGAAGTCTTTCTGTCTGCAATTTTCTGCTGAAAACCTTGTTGGTGACTTTTCCTGCTTATCCAAGTCTACATTTGAAAACCTTGTTGGTGACTTTTATCTTGTATCATGAATTCATGATTAAGTTTCTTTCATAAGGATTGTATTAGTGTTGTCAAATAGCATGACTATTGTGGCTCTATAATGATTATGATGTAGTATTTTTGTTTCTGTTTATATTAGGCTTACTTGATTTTTAAATTAAATAGCCTAAACTATCTTTTATTTTCCAATTCTATCTCTTTCATCTTTCCGTTTGTTGACTCTTTCTGGTTTTTTAATCTTTTTTTTTTTTGTTTCCTTCTGTTTCTTCTAAATTATAAGTTTTTATTCCTTCTAAATTTTAAGTTTTTCTCTTTTTTTTAAATTTTCTAATTTTAATTTTTTTTATCTAGTTATTCTAGATTTAAGTTATTTATTTATTTATTTTTATTTTTTTGTTTCTAAATTCAGTTTTTTCTGCTCTTCTAAAAGTTTTTTTTTCTTTCTAAGCTTATTTTAAAATTTAATTTTTAAGCTTATTTTCATATAATTGTTAGACATTATATATTTAAGCTGCTATGTAGCTTTCATCATTGGCCCGCGATGCTATCCGCAATATGATATAGCAGATTTTTTTTTTAATTGATCGACAACTGATTGATTTTTTTTTAATTTCTATACTTATGATAATTGAGGAAGTAGTATCCTTTTCTGGAGAAGTTCTTGTCATTTTGATTGATTGTATTATTCCCATATCTTTTGAGCCTTATGAACAGGCATTTTGACCCATGGTAGCGAGAAAAGATCACAGAGGCACCAATAGTTAATTTCTATCATCTGTCTTTCATTTTCTATTTCTTTTCGATGCTCTACCCTTGGAAGTTTCTGTTGAAAAAGCTTATCTATAGCTTTCTTCTTTTCATTTTACTTCACCTCATACATTTTATTCTGAATTTAATTAATGGCTGCTCCGCTGCTCGGGTCTATGTTTGTTTGCTCTCTATTTACTAGTATTATGCACTTCTCAAGTTTGTGATTGTATGTATATCAATTTGTGTTCCCTATTGTTAACAGTACACTGACATCAGTATACAAACTAGGGTGGAAGCTAGGATGGACATGGGATAATAATGAAGTGATATGATCAATGAGTGGTGCCATAGCAACTCACAGAGGGAATTGCTCATCTTACAGCGGCTCTTAGATGCCACAGCGGCTCTTAGATGCCACAGTCCTGTAGCTAGGGGTGGGTATGCGGACCGGTCCGGCCCGTTTAAGGCCCGGTCCGCGAAGTCCGCATTTTTAACGGGCCGGATAAATCCGGTCCGTGAAATAAATGGACTTAAATCTTCAAGTCCGTATCCGGCCCGTGAAGCCCGCGGATAAACGGATAAGTCCGCGGGCCCAATTAAATCTAAATTGTTTAAATGAATATTGACTCAGATTTTTAATTTCTTTTCCTTTATTTAACCTATGAAAACATGAGAAAAAAAAAATATAAAATCATATAAATATACTTCTAATAATAACATCAAACATTGTAAATAATAAATCAAAGTCTTAAATAACAAAGTTTACACATTCTAAATTTCTAATAGAAATATTTAAGTCTCAATGCCTTTAAAATTTAAAGTCCAAGCATACCAACTATTAACCAAATATTAAAGCCAGTACATCAAAGTCTAAATACCTTAAAACATAAAGTCTTAATTAATATCTTAAAAACAAACATAAAATATTTGTAAGTCCAATTACATCTATCAAATATAATCAACCATCTCCAATAATAAAATTTGAGTCCACATTTAAACGGGTAATCCGCGGGCTCGCGGATTAAACCGCAAAATCCGCGGACTAAACGGGTCGGGCCTAGAAAGTCCGTATGATTATACGGATTAAAAAAAATGGGTCCGTTATCCGTGAAGTCCGCGGACTTACGGACCGGTCCGCGGACTCAAGTCCATATACCCACCCCTAACTGTAGCAAAGATCCCATCATAGTTATGTAATATTTTCTCATACAACAAATAATTCTTCTTTTGTTGTACCACTGAAAGAAAGTTCCCTCAAATAGAATTACAAACGCACGAGACACACACACTCAGTCAATTAGATTTAGAAATTATACTATGAATGACTTTTAAAGTAGTTGTTACAAAACTGAACAATTTTATCTGGGTTTTGGTTTGATGTTATAAATAAAATATGTTTATACAGGTAACCTAAAAAGAATCTAAAAAAATAATTGAACTTTTTTTTTTAAATACAATTTACATCGGTTTCAAGTAGAACCGATGTAGATTTGCGTACAAAATCTACATCGATTTTACTTACAACGATGTAGATGTGCACTCAAATCTACATCGGTTCTACCTGAAACCGATGTAGATTTTACACATATCTATATCGATTTTAAAAATCGATGTAGAAGTCTTCGTATTACTAAGTCGCTCTATTCTACATCGGTTTTATAACCGATGTAGATTACCTTCCAGAACCGATGTAGATAGCACATCCTGTAGTAGTGAATTACAATTCTCCCCCTTTTTGAAATTTCGTCCCCAAAATTTACCTGAAAACAAAAATGGGTAGGCTTCTTGCATCTAGCTTTCTAATTCTCATGTAGCATTTTCCTAAATATTTCCCATAAGAAACTATACTAGTTGAAAATCCCGTGTAACCTCACTACCTCACTGATGTACATCTATATCAATCTCTCTAAAGAATATCTAATATCAATAAGGGTAAGACAAGCAAACTTGGTGAGTCTATCCACTATAACCCAAAAAGAATCAAATTTCTTAAGCATCTTTAGACAAACCTACAATCAATGTCTATCTTCACACCATCTCACTTCCAAAATGGGACGTCTAAAGGTTGTAAAAATCCTAAAGACTTCTAGTGTTCTACCTTAGACTTCTGGCATACTACACACAAGTACATAAATTCCTCTACTCCTCTCTTTACCTTAGGCCATCAAAATATCTCCCTAAGGTCCTGATACATCTTAGTAGCTCCTAAATGAATGCTAAGAGTACTTTTATGTCCTTCATGTAAGATCATCTTCCTTAATTCGAGATTACTAGGCACATAGATTCTATCCTTGAACCCCAAAATACCATCAACTTCCACTCGTAAAGGGGTATCTATCCCCCTATCAATCCTCTCCACTTGGTTCACTAAGAAAGGATCTAACTCCTGGGCTTCTCTAATGTCATTTATACTAGTCACTTTCAACATACTAAATTCAATGCTTCTAAGGGTAAGCTCACACACCAAGCTTAAGTCTCTAAACTCTTCAATCAAATTCAACCTTTAAATCATCAAAGATAATAGGTGAATGGTCATCCTAATTAAGGCATCTGCCACAATATTAGTTTTACTTTTATGACCATCTCCAACGATTAAGCACCTAAGTGTAAGTTCACTACGTACTCATACTCGGTCTCCAAGTCTTGTCACCAAAATGAATCAACTAATTATGTTTCTCCATTTTCCTTCAACAATCCATTCATTACTTGAGTCATACCTAGTTTCAGATTACTAGGAGTAATCTCACAAGTCAAACTTAAATGTAGACCGAGCCAAAAGGTCCATCTCTCTAATCTTAAGGGAAGTTAACTATAGAGGTTTCTTACTTAAAACATCCACCACCACGTTGGCTTTACTCAGATAAAAACTAAGATTAAAATCCTAGTCCTTAAGAAATTCCAACTACCTCTTTTGCCTCACATTTAGCTCCTTCGGGTCAAACGAGTATTTGAGGCTCTTATGATTACTAAATACCTCAAGCTTAGAACCATACAAGTAGTGTCACCAAATCTTAGTGTAAATATTACAACCGCTAACTCAAGATGATGGATAAGGTAATTCCTCTCATGAATTTTCAATTGCCTAGAAACATAAGCTACTACCTTTCCTTCTTGCATAAACACTCCACCCAAACCCATCTTAGAAGCATCACTATGTACCACAAAAGACTTACTAAAATCTGGTAATATTAACACTAGTCAATCTTTCCTTAAGAGTTTGGAAACTACTCTCACACTTACTATCCCATACAAAGACAACTCTCTTCCTGGTCAATCCAGTCAAAGGTAATGCTATCTTAGAAATTTCCTCAATAAATCTCCTATAATAATAAACTATCCCAAGAAAACTCCTAACCTCACTAATTGACTTAGGTATCTCACACTTAAGAACAACTTTTACCTTAGATAGATCTATGCTATACCTCCTCTAGAAATTACAGGACCTAAAAAACTCACTTCATACAATCAAAAATCATATTTAGATAACTTAGCATAAAATTGTCTTGGATATATCTTCATCCTCATCTCCAATATGATGATATCACACCCTAAGGTCAATCTTACTAAAGACACAAAAACCCATTAATTGATCCATAAGGTCATCTATCTTCATATCAACATACATGCATATCAAATCATATTAGAATACTTATTTCAACATTCGTATATACCATCCCCAAGCATGTATGAATCATTCACCATTTACACCATATAGCATGTACATGAACCAACTTTACAACATAGCATCATACAACCTTAAACAACCTCTCAATCCACATGAAAACACCTCAAAACATCATAACAAAATCATTTTTTATCCTTGCATTTCCTAATAACTCAAAAATATCATGACACCATACATATCCCTTCAACAACTGTCAAAGAAAATAATACATAGAGAGTTATACTCATCCAAATGATCTCAAAACTATCTCAAAAGAAAGCTAAGAGAATAAGATACAACTCTTATGAATACATGAGATTCTAAAAAGATCATCTTTGTAGCTAAAAATTCAAAAGTCACAATAGATATATTCAGCGCTTACAGCTAGACCTCTAATCACCAAAGCAGCTATAACTGGAGTTCTAGACCTTCGTTTTACCTGATTCTAGTTCCATTGGAAAGATAACATACAAGGCTACAACTTTTGTGGATTCCATAAAATCTAAATCTGTCAATAAAGTACTCATACTGACACAACAAAATTGCAGCGAAAACATCCCCTATACCAGACAACGAAGAGTGTACCAAAATCTAAGGCCACGAAAATACCTTCAAACATTTCCAAACCCCTATCTAAGCTTCCCCCTACAATCCTAAACCAAAAAAACTCATATATTCAATACAAAAGACTTAGAAACTAAATTAAAATCCTCATGCAA